CCCAATTGCCCTTTTATTGAGTGGTAAAGGAACCAATTTCCATGTGTCATTATGTTCTAGTGCCAACATTTCATCTTACATGGCTGCTCGCCAGCCACGATGGGATAAAGTCTCAGAGATATATTTTGGTGTGGACGGATGCTCTAAGAAAACAATGAAAGACTTGGAAGATGGGGATAATGCATGGTAAGAAACAAAAGAAGAGACTAGATAAGTACATGATCGTTTACTTTTACGGAGAGCAATGGGAAGATCAAGAGTAGAATCAAGAGGGGGTGACGAATCCTGAGGTGAAGTAGTCGACAGAGGAGGCAAGTTATGGCTAGTATCAGGTGTCACCGAAAATTGCTGCACACGATGAGTGTAAACACTTTGAATAAGAGGGCGAGAAGACACATGTAACACAGGTGTCGTCACAGTGTAAATAAAAAAGTCATCCCCAGAGTCAATAGAAGATGGATTAGAGGACACAGTAGTACTAGAAAAGGATGTGGACTCGAAAAGGTGACATCAATAGACACTAAGTATCGTTCTAAGGAGGGAGAAAAATATCGATAACCCTTTTGATGTCAAGAATAACCCAAAAATATACACTTAAGGGATCTAAGATCAAGTTTGGAAATTTGATGTCTCATATCTTGAACAAAGTAAGTGCACCCAAATATTTTAGGAGCAAGAGAGAAGAGAGTCTAAGAGGGAAATAGAATGGAATAAGAGATTTTTCCATCTAAGATAGATGAAGGCATGCGATTGATTAAGTAACACACAGTGGAGAATGCATCTATCCAAAATTCTTTTGAAACTTTCATATAAAAAAAGAGAGCTCATGTAACTTCCAATAAATGGCGATTCTTCCGTTCTGCCACTCCATTTTGTTGGCAAGTAACAATACATGAAGATTAATGAATAATGTTGTTTTGTGAAAGAAAGGAATTAAATGTCGATGAGAAATACTCATTGGCATTATCACTTCTTAAGATACGTATAGATTTGTCAAATTGAGTTTTAATCTCAGCATAAAAGGCACAAAAAATTGAAAATAGTTTAGAACGATTTTTCATAAGATATAACCAAATAATACGAGAATGATCATCCACTAAAGTAACAAAATAGCGAAACCAGACTTAGATAAAATAGAACAACGACCCCAAATATCTGAATGTATTAAATTAAAAGGAGACACAACATGTTTATTCATTCTAGTAGAATATGACACTCTATGATGTTTTGCTAATTGACACGACTCACAATTTAATTGAGACACTTTACAAAGACTATGACATAATTGCTTCAAAACAGGGAGGAAAGGATGACCGAAGCGACAATGGAGCTGTGGAAGAGAAGAAGTACTAGTGCATGCAATCGATCTTGGCACCTGTGTAGGGGAAGAATCTAGCACATATAAGCCATTGAATTCACGCTTCCACCAATGATCTGCTTCGTCCCAAGATCCTAGAAAACACAATGGTAAGGAAAGAAAAGAACACTACAATTAAGGAATTTAGTAATTTGACTCACAGATAAAAGATTGAAAAGAAACTTAGATAAACATAAAACAGATGACATTGGTAAAGAGTTTGTTGGATATGCAGTCTCACATCCAACAACAGGAGTTGTAGACCCATTAGCTAAAGTGACACATGGTATATTGGAAGAGTATTTAAGTGATAAAAGTATACCTGTATCCTTAATCATATGATCTGTGGCACCGGAATCAATGACCCAATTATGGGATGCGGTAGAAAGATACGTTATAGAATTACCTGTGTTGGCTAAAGTGGAAGTGGAAGTGGTATGTGTGAGAGGTTGTTGAGAGGCGTAAAATTGTGTAAAGCGAGCATATTCATCTACTAAAATTATAATTTGAGGCTGAGTAGAAGGTACAGGTAAAAGACCATCCTGAGTGGCAACATTTGCAAACTTTCTCATAGGGTTCCGCTGGTTTACCGTTGAATTTCCAACAGTTCCTTCTAATATATCCTTAGTCTCCACAATAATAACAACCACGAGAACTACCGCTAGAAATTTTATCTCGACTATCTCCTCTTCCTCCTTTATTATTATAATTGTTATTTAACTTTGAATTTGTGCCAATCAGAGCTACCGTCTCATTTGGTCCTACCTTGCTCCTTGTCATTGTCCTTACATACCCGAAGGAGATGAGCATATATATCACTCAATGAAGGTAGTGCCTCACTGGTAAGTAACTGAATACGAGCTACCTCATACTCAGGACCCAATCCTACAAGAAAACATTGAACCACGATCTGCTCTTCTTGTTCTTGCATCTTCTTCACATCATTAGTAATAGGAACCATGGCTCACTTTTCTTTAAATGCTTGTTTTACTTCAGTATAATATTGAAACATATTTTGCCCCTTTTGTTCAGCCCGGTAAATTTTCAGCATTAGTTCATGAACATGTGACACATCATGTTTACTAGCATACATAAACTCTAGATAGTCCCACAGTTCTTTCACAGTATCACAATGATTAATAACATCATCAACTGTCGGGTCAAGGGTATTTTGAATCTGATTAAAGAGTTTATCATCCTCCATCAACCATTTTTTTCGAATACCCGGATTAGTATTAGAATGCAGAGGTAGGACATCAGTCAAATGGTCGCCCAAATCTAAACTTGACATATATCTACAGACAATTCTCTTCCATTGAACACAATTTCTACTACCCATTAACTTTCTTTCCGTGATTTTTGCAAATGGGGATACTGTGATTTCATTCACCATTTTTTAATCACCTTCCGCCATTGATTATCGGAGAATCAAAAGGAACACAAAATAAATTCCAAACCAACTTAATAATAATATCAATCCAACAATAATGCACGTCCAGTAAAACGCAACCCAAACAAAACTACATAAATCAATTCAACCAAATTAAAATGAAACTGACCCATCTCAGCCCAAACAAATAGCAAAAAACCCACAACTCTGTAGCCCAAATCCAAACAGTCCACGCTCACTAAGGGAGAAAAGTCGACGATGAAGCGATCCCAACGATGAAGTAGAGAAGTTGACGAAGCTAGATTCCCCTCCAACACTCACCACACGCAACGGATTACTGGAGATTTTGGGTTGATTACACGTTCGATTTACGTCGGGTTCCAAAGACGTCGCGGAACACTCGGTGCAATCGATTTCTGTCGCTATGCCAATTTTCTCCGCTTTCTGGTCGTCAACCACCAAGAAGTGATTCAAGTTAAGTCTTTGTCTTAATCCTGGAAAATACTTGCCCAAACCTTTTCCTCCACCAAGACCAGTCCCAAGAATTTTTTTTTTTATCAAAAAATCACAAACCCTTATTTCTTGAACTGGGTTCTGATACCATGTTGATTTTGGAAGAAGAACTTATTCCTTTATACAATTCATAAACGTGTGTTACATATATGTACACATATAGAGAGGATGTTTCTCATAAGGAAAAAATCCTATCAAAATAAGAAATCATTCTAAACTTATACACCTACCATATATAAATGTGTTTTATATGTAAAGACTAAATTTAAACCTAAATTGATGCATAATTCCATAACAATGGCTATAGAGGCACAACATGGTATGAAAAAACTCTTAAGTTAAGGTCAAAAAATTCATAGTCCACAATCCACATCCTTTTTTCTTTTTCTTTTTTTAACAATCCAACTCCTCTGTGAAGATATAACACGACATGGCATTGTAAAACTCTCGAGTCAAAGGTCGAGAAATTTGTAGCCCACAACTCACTTCAGTTGTTATATTTTTTTTCAAATATCACGAATATGAACTTTTTATTTTAATTTGATTTTTTCTTTTTCTTTTTGGACCGTGCTGAATCATAATCGCATTTAACTAGATCGAGAATGCAAAATATTGGAACTTGCTAAATCTTACTATATACACAACTAACCATTTTCATGTCAAACTGACAGGTCATTTTAACATGTAAAACTCTTTGAAAAAGAAAAGCTGTAATAGAATAAAGAATCATATAAAATGGATAAACTTTGAAAAATTTGGATAAACTGATAAAGTAAAGAAGGGATTGCTCAAATGTTTCAGTTCCATTTTTCTCATAACTGAAATTTTTTTTTTTTGAAATTTAAGGTGTGTTTGGTTTGCGTATTCATTTTCTATTTTAAGGGACTATTTTAGAATTACAAAAAACGTGTTTGATTTGTCATTTTGAAAAACGATTTCTCAAAACAGAAAACTCGGAAATGCATTTGGTTTAAAATTTTTAAAAATTGTTTTATAACATTTATTCAATTAATTTGATTATTTAGTAAAACATAATATTTTTTATGCTAATATATTATCAGATAATATATATTTTAAATTTAGTGAATTTACTATTTTAAAAGTATTGCTAAGCATCCCATAAAAAAAGGGAAACGGAGTGTTTTAAGCGTTTTAAGCTTTTTGAGTTTTCATTTATAAATTTTTCTTTGTTTTCGAAAATACATTTTCGAAAACGAGTGATCAAACACGTTTTGGATATTTTCGAAAATTAAAAACAGAAAACTATTGGAAAACGGCAAACCAAACGCCCCTTATTTTTTTAAAATTAATTTTAAACCACACAATAATTCGAACAAGTTTTCAAAATTTATTTTCAAATACACATTCTCCAATAAATTTTTTTACACGAAAATCGAAAAATTTCCTTATTTTTTAATCACATATTTTTAAAAAAATCACTATTCAAAAATATATTTTTTTTTCCAAAATGAGGCTCAAACAAGGATTTCTTAAAATAATTTTATAAGTAAATTCAAAATTTTTCCTTATTTTTAAACACTAGTTCTTCGAAAAATTACTATTTTAAAATTTAACTCTCCCAAAAAAATTGTTTAATTTCTAGGAATAGAAGTGAAATGAGTATGTAAACAACAAATGAAGCAAAATCAAAATACAATACCAACAAAAAGTAAAAGCAAAAAGAAGAAGGTCAAAAAAAACAAAAAAAAGTAGAGAGAGAAAGTAGTAAGAACAGACACAACACGAGGTTTGGAACTTCAAGAGAGAGAAAAGTGTCTGCTAAAAAGATCATTTTGACTCTCTCTCTCTCGCCTCTCCCTCTATCCATATCCATGACTGATTCACAATTTTCTTTTCACATCCCTTTGTCATATTATTCTTAATTCAACAAGTCTGCTTTTGACCACATTCAAGAAAATTAATAGTGTTTTCTTGCTTCTTTTTTTTTTTTCGTTTTTATTATTTTAGCATTTTAATTTTATATGTTTCATTGTTTCTTGATTCATTATTATTATTAAATATCTAATCTTTTGTGAGGTTTTGTTAATTTTAATGTTATGAATTCTCGGATATTTCTTGGAGATTTGTATAAGAAGAAAAACTAGTTCTTCAAGATTTGTTGCTATGCCTTGAAAATATTTCGTGGGGTATATTTTTGTTAGGGAAATTAGAAGATTTGATCTTTGTGAATCATGGGAAATTGCTGTGTAACACCTCATGGTTCTTCTGAGAAGAAGAAACGGAAGAATAAACCGAACCCTTTTTCCATAGATTACGGTGCGAATCATGGATCTGGGGGTTCAAACAAGCTTGTTGTGTTGAAAGATCCGACAGGTCATAATATTAATGAAAGGTATGATCTTGGGCGCGAGCTTGGCAGAGGTGAATTTGGGATCACTTATTTGTGTACTGATGTGGAGTCTGGTGAGAAACTCGCCTGCAAATCCATATCCAAGAAGAAGCTGAGGACTGCAGTGGATGTTGAGGATGTGAGGAGGGAGGTTGAGATCATGAAGCATTTGCCTAAGCACCCAAATATCGTGAGCTTGAAGAACACTTACGAGGATGAAAGCGACGTTCATATTGTTATGGAATTGTGCGAAGGTGGTGAATTATTTGATCGGATAGTGGCACGGGGACATTATACGGAAAGGGCAGCTGCATTCATTATGAAGACCATTGTTGAAGTTGTTCAGGTGAAATATTACCCTTTTTTTAATTGACCAGGACTTAAAAATTTAATCTTTTTGTGTCCTTATTGCTTGCTGAATACTTCAGACTAGACGCGATTGTACAGAACAAGCCTTAATATACAATTTTTAAAGCCACTTTCTAAAGCTATCGAAATTGGATGTGGAAATACTATTAACTGTTTCTTATGGTTCAATTAAATAGTTTTTGTTATTTTCTTTTTATGTGCTGTGTAGAATGCGTGTGAATGTTCCTTGGCAGTCTTGTATATCACACGAATGTTTTCTTGGTATGACATAACAGGTGCTGAACATGGATTTCTCATTTGTCTGTCCATCTCCTCTAATAATTCATTTTCGAAAGTTGCTAGTGGAGAAATAGGCTTAAGATACTTACGAATATTGTGAATTTTCTTTGCTAACATCAATTCCTGTTTATTATGATTAATTAAGGTGCAATTGCTGCAAACTATCTTCCCATCAAATACTACTTCAATTATACTTTATTCCCACAAATTCATCAAACTGAGCACACATATACACTGTAATGTACAGTACTCAGCTTATTATGAGAAAATTTAATTGGAAACCATATACTACTTGTATTAGCGCTGTAAACAATTAAGCCTATAAAACAAATTGAGCCTCTATTTTGCCTTCTTTCGTTTGTTTAATTAGCCTCGAACTCCAAATCTATGCTGTAGCCTTTTCTACTCCCATCTTCTGTTTAATCATATAGGTGTAGAATTCTATGTAACAAAAAAAAATTTTGATTCTTTGAATCGATGTACTCTATCTGAACTCTTTGGCTTCCATCAGTATCTATTGTGATTCTCGGTTGTTGGAATCATCTGTTTTACTTTGGCTGCATTGTTGAAATTTCACTTGTTATTTGTTGATATGTTAATTATAGTCCTAGAGTAACCAACAGTTTATTGTGCTTTCATTGTGCAGATGTGCCACGGACATGGAGTGATGCATCGTGATCTCAAACCGGAGAATTTTCTCTTTGCAAATAAGAAAGAAACAGCTCCACTGAAAGCAATTGATTTTGGTCTGTCAATCTTCTTTAAACCTGGTACGGAACATTTTTATCAGAATGTCTTCCGCATTGAGCTCAAATACCATTTGCCTTGTTAACTCGGGTCTATGATCATTAAATTTGGCCTTCAGGTGAGCACTTCAGTGAGATTGTGGGAAGTCCTTACTATATGGCCCCAGAAGTTCTAAAACGCAACTATGGGCCAGAGGTTGATGTGTGGAGTGCTGGAGTTATCCTTTATATTCTGCTTTGTGGAGTTCCACCCTTCTGGGCAGGTTTGTTTCAATAGTTGCTTTCTTTATTTCATTTTTTAAGGTCTAGAGTTGAAGGAGAATATGTTGTCCGAAATTCAGAAAAATAGAGGCACTAGATCTCCTTGAGACCTTCGTTAAAATGTAGAAGTATAATATGACATTAACACAGTAACAGCACCAATTTATTACTTAAACTTCGTAACATGTTGAAAGTGATGTATAAAATTTAGTGGCAAATATTAAGAATGACTAGAATGCAATGCAATTATATACTGGGATAGAATTCATGACAAATGATTAGGTTTCTTGATGATGAAGGAATTCACCACCTTTATTTTAAATAAAGGAATGAGTTCATTGCAGGAATTTGTAAATAAAAAAATGTCGTGCAAGTAGGAGGAGAGTGAACCAATTTTTTTGGAATAACTGTGACTTAAATGAAATTTTTTGTGATTTTTCTTGATTTATCTCTAGTGGTCCAAGTTACTTTCTAGACGGGTTATGGCAGTAGGTTCACCATGTATGAATACTGGCACTAGATGCGAATAGGAACACTGAAAGTTCTTGGAGTATAATTATGCTTAATTTAATGTTTCTTTCTGATCACGTTCACAAAGATGAAATGATATTGGCCCATCATTTATTTTAGTTAATCTTTTTATATGTTGTTCTGATTGTGCAGAAACTGAGCAAGGAGTGGCACAAGCAATTATTCGATCTGTCATTGATTTCAAGAGAGATCCTTGGCCTAAAGTATCCGACAATGCAAAGGACCTTGTAAAGAAAATGCTCGATCCAGATCCCAGCCGTCGTCTCACGGCTCAGCAAGTTCTCGGTAATGTTTGCTTACATCAAATTAAAATGTATGCAATATATGAGGAGAAGAAATCAAGACTAATTTCTCATGAGTTCTCATATTGAAATGCAGAGCATCCGTGGCTTCAAAATGCAAAGAAGGCACCAAATGTCTCATTGGGTGAGACCGTGAAAGCAAGGCTCAAACAGTTTTCTGTGATGAACAAGCTCAAGAAAAGGGCTCTAAGGGTGCTTACAAAGTTTACTTTATTCTCTTTTTATTATAAAATCCTCCCTCCTTTCTCGTCCCTCTACAACCAGAGACCTATGACTTTTAGTCGAACCAAAAAATAAAAAATAAAATAAATAAAATAAAAATAAATAAAAAAAATTCTGAAAGAAAAAAAGAACTGTACTATATTACTATTCCTTTTTTAGATGGTTATTTATTGGAATTTTGCTTGTACAGGTTGTGGCCGAGCACTTGTCCGTGGAAGAAGTGGCTGGGATTAAGGAAGCATTTGATACGATGGACACTGGAAAGAGGGGCCTAATTAATCTTGAAGAACTTAAAATTGGTTTGCGAAAGAATGGTCATCAGATACCTGATGCTGATCTTCAGATTCTCATGGAAGCTGTAACTTTTGCACTCCCCTTCCCTTCATTCATACTTCATTACATTTCTTGTGGCAATAAACTATAAAGTTGTGTCTTGATTTTAGGTTAACCTCAATCCTAGTAAGCGTGTCTTCATGATCATATTGAGTTTAGCTGTAATTCTGCTGTGCGTCCACATTGCATTTTTGCTTTGAACTGTTGCATCTTATTTTAACATTAGCCCATACTTAGCTGTACAGGAGGTTCTCAGATTTTTGTGATCTATGAACACCCACACACACACACACACACACAAAAGGTCACCTAGTCGATGAGGATAAGGCTTCTCTACTAGTGTGGTATAAGATAAGGTTTAGCTGAGTTGAGTTGAATGTGCTTGTAATTTGTATTTATTACAAAGTCTACATCTAATATTACAGGCTGATGTTGATGGAGATGGAGCTTTGAATTATGGGGAGTTTGTTGCTGTTTAGGTTAACCTCAATCCTAGTAAGCGTGTCTTCATGATCATATTGAGTTTAGCTGTAATTCTGCTGTGCGTCCACATTGCATTTTTGCTTTGAACTGTTGCATCTTATTTTAACATTAGCCCATACTTAGCTGTACAGGAGGTTCTCAGATTTTTGTGATCTATGAACACCCACACACACACACACACACACAAAAGGTCACCTAGTCGATGAGGATAAGGCTTCTCTACTAGTGTGGTATAAGATAAGGTTTAGCTGAGTTGAGTTGAATGTGCTTGTAATTTGTATTTATTACAAAGTCTACATCTAATATTACAGGCTGATGTTGATGGAGATGGAGCTTTGAATTATGGGGAGTTTGTTGCTGTTTATGTGCATATTAGAAAGATGGCCAATGACGAGCACCTACATAAAGCTTTTTCATTTTTTGATCGAAATAAGAGTGGATATATAGAGATTGAAGAACTCCGGCACGCTCTGAGTGATGAAGATGATGCCAATAGCGAGGAAGTTATCAATGCTATCATGCATGATGTTGATACAGATAAGGTCAGTTCCACGCTTGTGTATTTAGCCGAATCACCACATAAACATCGTTAATTTTTATATAGCTGAATCACCATTTAAATTGTTGGTTTTCTGTTCAGTGTAAACGATTTTTATTCATCTTCTTTCATTGATGTGCAGGATGGACGCATAAGCTACGAAGAATTTTCTGCAATGATGAAGGCTGGTACTGATTGGAGAAAAGCGTCCAGACAATACTCACGCGAACGATTCAATAGTATTAGCTTGAAGTTGATGACGGATGCCTCTCTGAAGTTAACAAACGAAGGTCGATGAACGAGGGGAAAAAAGCAGATTCGAGAGGCACATTGCGAATTTATTTTATTTTTTCTAATTTTCTGTTGAGTTTATGAATTTACTGTTTCGTTCTTTCTAAGTCATTTTTGTTCTAGTTTTCTTTCCTTTTTTATTACATGATAGGATTTTAGGTATGATACGTTTCTACATGGCTAGACATGCATAATATTTAACATAGAGAATTGGCGATTTAAAGTGTTTTACTTGTGTAAATTGTTGTTCGATTTTAATGAATTGGACTTTCTTTCTTAAAAAGGTTTAATCCCAACCTTGAGGGCTTTCATCGTCCCGCCCCTAAAGATTTGTGAGGCAGGTAAATCGCGGGATGTGCTCCAACAATACAGTGAACAAAAGTTATATGTACACTGCGCCTACAAGGAGTCCAATTCCATGTCTCAGGAATCGAACCTCCACATTGCGACTGTTAGTAAGGCGAGAAATAATTTCACTTATGTCCTTTGTACCACTGGATTATGCCCTGGGGGCAACTTTGTAAGGGAGACACTTTTGGTCGACCATGCCAAACAAGTCAGCAGAGTCCTCATTTTCTCTCAATAACGCGAGACACTTATAATTTTACATATATATCTAAATAAAATCTTGATCATATCATTTACTTTGTTCTTTCAAAATTTGGATTTGGTAACGATACGAGCTCTTACCTTCGTCCTTATATAAAAACTAAGTCCACATTTATGTAGTGTGTCCTCGTCAACCTCCAAAAAATGGAGTCTACGAAAGCCATTAATCGTAAAAATGATCAAGAACTCCAACCATGCAAAACTGTTTTTGTCGATTCTCTACCTGTTCGTCCCTTTCGAGGTCGAACTCATTTTCTTGAAGAAGAAGGCCTTGAACGAGCAAATCCCGTTATACAGGATGCCAATCTTTACCAGCATGATCCCTGGAATTTAACAGGTTTGGTTCATCTGTTCAAGGGTTTGCGTTTTCTGTTACCTTTGGGTTAATATTCTAATGTTATGACAGGTCGGGATGCATAGTAAAATTGATAATTTTTCATACGTCTTTCTTAAATCTATCTAGTTGTCTAGTCGAATATATCAATATGCATAGTTGTTGAACTGTATTTTCCACTTTTTGTGAATTTTCATACACGGAGCTATACTCGAATACCAGGGAAAAATAAATGGTACTTTTTCACCCCGAGAGACCCTGAGTGTCGAAATGGCAAGCAACCAAATCGAGTAGCTGGGACTGGTTGTTTCCCTACATGAAGATAACATGTTTTATTTTAATTAACTGTCAATTTTGATAGATTATTTTCTCAATTTAGACATGCTCTGATTGACGCATAGGATATTTAGCATTAAACATGACTAGATAACATAATAAACAAAATTATTGTTGAATGCTATCAAATCCTTCTTGGAGAAGACAGAATTTCAATATTGTTGGTCGACCATTCGAAACAGATTTCAATATTTTTGCGCACCTCTTCATCTCTTCTTTTCGACTCCATTGGATTCCGATATTGAGATAGCTATAGTTCTTGGGCACTTTCATTAACTTATTTTGGTTTCTTATTCGATCTAATCAAACAAACCGAATATGCCATCAAAGATTGAAACGAGAATATGCCTTCGAATTCTCAATGTCTTTTAACGGGGATCGTTTTGGATCCACGAGTCCGGTGTTGCACGCTTGTGGCTTTCGTCTTCCATTCCCAAAGAGTTCCTCTTTGCTGCCTTTGATAGCACGACGAGTTTCCTTCAAGCGAAGAAGCTTCTCCTTTACAAGCTGTTTTCCCAAAGAAATAGCCGGCAAATTTTTGGTCGGCATTATTTCGAGGCTTTCTTCTTCATTCAGCTCTTCATCAGCATTCTTCCATTTCCGCACTTTATCGACAATATTATAGTCTTCCTCCAAACGTGAGCTCGATTCATGTTTTTCCTTTTCAAGTTGTTTGCGTAAGGAAACTGGACATAAATCTGGAACTGAGCCTACCTTCTTGTTTTGATCTGAGTTCAGCTCTGTTTTCGACTTTTGAAGCACCCCTTTAAGTGAAGATAACTCGACTTGCAGTCCATTAGCCTTATTTTCGAAACCAAGAGCTTTCTTTCTCCATTCTTTCACCTATGAAAAAGGGACCATTTCATTACCACCAAAAGTTATCGGAAGAAAGAATAGCAGATGATTCAAAAGTCTCCTTCATATGGAAGGAGAGAAATTTTTGTTTAAAAGTAGCTTAAAAGCTACTTTTTTCAAAAGTACGTCTCTGCAATGCAATGAGAGAACATAAATAACAACCTAACCACAGAGTTTACAGCATCAGTAATAGATATTTAATTAGAGCTCACCCTGTCGATATAAAATCGAGGAACTCTTACCGCACGTCTTAGGGACTGAATTTCGCGATCTAAATCAAGAGCATGATTTTCCCAGAAATCGCGGGATTCTTGCAGTTCGTTCATTTCGCCCCTCACCCGTCCCAGCATTAGCTGCATTTGAGACCACTGCTCGTTCTCGACTTTCACCTGCTCTACAATCCTACGGATAATGGCCTTGCATCGTCCCGAGCATTTGTTTTCCTCTAGCGACACTGGTTCCTGTCGATACAACATTTTTTTCGCCAAATTATAAACGAATAAAGAAGCTATTTTCGACAATAAACCGCAATGGATAACAATAGAAGACTCAGAAACTTTGCCTGATACGATTGTCGGGCGGAAAAGGTAGATGGTTCAATAAACCGATCAATACGCTTGGAAGTAGAAACAGAACCGGGAACCGAACTGATGGCTCTACTAGAAAGCAATGGACCAAAATCTTCCTCGACTCTATCTAACATGCCCTTTGACAATCCCTCCATTTTTCCTCTCAACGTATCCACCTGCAGAACCTTTTCTATTCAGGCATGTTCATAGCTCAAAATCTCTCATTTTCTTCGAGAAAAAATAAAATTTATACCACAGACACCACTGATAGACTAAATATTGATATATTCTTATTTAAGGGCATGTTTAGTACATAGTACCATCAAATCCGAGCTAAACTTGATAGGAAACAACACAAAAAGAACAATATACCATGAGAAAGCCTAAATTAACATGTGAAGAATGATTTCCAATAAAAAAATTGGAAAGGGAGATATAATTCTTACACCAATAGCTTTATTCTTGCTTCTATAATCAGAAACAGAGTTCTCTTTATCAAGATTTCGACTGGTATTAATCCTCAAATTCATGTGCAACTCGTCTAATTTCTCTGCTAAATCTTCAATCTCTTCTTCCAACACTGCATTATCATTCTTGCCTTCAGAAATCTTCTTTTTCCCCTGTAAACATACAAAACGATAGAATAAGAGCACGTGCTTAATGAAAGTTACTTTTTCTGGAAAGTAAGTTACTTTCTTGTAGTAAAAAGAGTAACTTTGAAATCACAAGCGTTCTCAGTTAATCAAACACGTCGTGATAGTCTCTAAGCATCAATGATACATAAACCCATAAATAACACTTATTTTCAAGAAGTCTAAAACCCATAAAACTTGGGAATCAACTGCTCGTTTGAGCCTTTTAAAATAGAATGCTAGAAAAAACTCAAACGAGCAGTCGACTCCCATGTTTCGTCTTTCTAAACAAGCCACCATCTTGCAGGTAAAAATATAAACTCACAGAAATAAGGGTATGAACAGCTGATTGAAGAGTCCTCTCCATCTTAACTTTATTCTTCTCCAATTTCTTCAAAGCAAATTCTCTTTCTGTTCTTAAGAAACTACACTCATCCATCAATAATTCAGCTTGAAATCTCCAGCTTCCCTCTTCAATCTCACCACCTCCATTTTCTTCTACTTTATTGAAGAGGTGGCGGGCGGTGGAGTTGGATTGTTTCCGGCGGGTTCTGCGGCTGCGGAGTGGTGGCGCCATATTGGTTCTTCTTAACATTGTAGCCGTTGTTGTCTCAGCGATAGATATATGTAGTAGAAATTAAGGAAAGGAGCCAAATTATAGTACAAAAGATGGCAGAATTCACAGGGTACGAGGTGTTGTGTTGTAAGTGACTTTAATTGAGCTTCACTTTGAATTTATGATTCTTCATTAATTAAATCATGTCGTGGGTGTTGTGTTCTACTAGTCTACACCGTGCCGTTTAAGCTGTGTGCTGTATGTTCGGTTCTTTCACAATTTCCAAACACAAAATTTAAGGTTTTTAATCTGTTTGACTTGAACCTTAATTTAAATTTTCGGCAAAACTCATGATCGACTTTTTGGTTGAATAAAGTTAAGTATACAAATATGGTCGACAACATCAGTTGACAACTATGTACGGTCAAAATTCCAAGCTTGTGATGTAAAAAATAGTTTTTTAAAATGGATGAATATGATGATGTCAAATAGAATGTTGTCAACCAATATTGTACTTTACAACAAAAGTTGAAGACCTTCTATGCAATTTTCCCAAACTTTTCCATGCTTCAATAGGTATACGTTGATTTATTATTCTAAATGATAACTAAAGAATTTTGTCACGATCCGCAATCTAATATAGTTTTATTGATTCCAATGTACCGAACGCAAATACACAATTTTGTTTCGATACTCTCACTAACCATATCACCTACCATTTGAATAGCTAGCAAAAACATATCATCTACCATTTGAATAGCTTGCAACTCGGAACCACACTCCCAAAAAAATAAGACCGTTATTCTAATAAGTGGTAACCTCATTTTAGGAACAATTTGATTCTATATTCAAATTTTTAATCCTTGATGGAGAAGTTATTAATTATTATTGAGTGAATCAAGATACAAGAAATGACCTGAATTTCTTATAAAAAAAAAATGGTGATTTAACTATGGAATATCAATTAATCATTGTGGGATCATTATTTATTTTAAAGTTCTACTTAATTAAGTACTTTTTAATTAGGGATGGCAAAATTCTCCGTTCAACTCCGTCCTTGCTCGTAGCCCCTAGCCTCGAATGGTAAATGATACAAGGACGGGGATCTTGGTCACACCCCAAATTTCTCATTTCTCAAACTTGCCTCGAATTGCATTTTTTGTTTTTGTTTTTTACATTAAAGTTATTTAAAAAAAAACAGTTATATTATTAAAAAATTAATAAGTTAATTAATTAAAACGAGGTGGGAAATGGGGGATGTTTTAATTAGGGAAAATTGCAGCAGCAGTCCCTAATTTTTTCTTTTTTTGTAGATCTACCATAACCTTCATTTTGTGTCAACGAAGGTTTCTAACCTTTCATAAATATGTA